GCGATATTTGCATATATGTTTAGCTTTGTGTTCATGCAAGATAGATTTTCAACATGTATTATTTTAAAAATATTTCAAATATTTGCTCTTTTCCCAGAATACAACATAAGCCTGTGACTATAACTTATAATTGTATTCCACAATAACATGTTATAGACAGTATTTTCTAGACTTTTCTCAGCAGCATTCATGCTGAATGTATGACATGATTTGCTTATTTGTTGTATATTATTGAAAATATTTTTATATTAAATATTTTCAACCTAATATATGATGGTTTTGTTGTGAAATTTTAAATACTATCCTTTAAATATTATTTGATTTTATTCTTATTGTCAAATTCTTCAGAAGTCATTTGGAATTGTGTGAAAAAGTAAAACTGCTCTAGAAAATGGAATAAGAATAGATATTTATTGATTTTATGTATTCAGACTCTAATGCAAATATTTCTTAGTTTTGAAATTAAACTTTTCTTAAACAATTTTTCTCCAAGAAACTTAATATATTTAAAATTTATTGAGGATAATTTTTGCATTTTTTGAAACAAAACTTCCTCTTTTTTTTTTTTTTTTTCTTAAAACACATATGGCTTTTGCCATTTTAAATCTACTCTCAACAAATGTCAACCATGCAGTCAGTAAAAGTATCAGGTAGTTAGGCAGTAAATGGTTTGTATTTTTATTCTTGCATAAGAACTCAGAAAATGAGTTTTATTTGAAGTAATTTATAGTCTTTTGTGAAAGTGTTGGTTAAATGGAGTGAGAAATGCTTCATTTTTTAAAATTAAGAATAAATGCAACATAATGAAGTTTTCCTTTGTATTCATAGTATATTATTTTATAGGGTGTAAGGAGGAAATGTGTGTATTACTTGGAGAAAATAATGTATGTTTTTGTAGAAGGCACATTTTTAGATAATTTTAAAGAAGATATATTTGATTTTTAAGGTAAAAAGTTAATATTTGTATGTTACATATGAATAAATTACTGATTTATTTCTCTCCTAATACTGTTACCTTAGCATTGACCTCATAAACCAGCTTTGTTGAAACAATTATAAAAAAGTGGAAGCTGAATTCACGGATAATGATACTAACAATAATGAAACAGGGTGGTAGATATTCAAAGAGAGTACTGTGGGCTTTAGCTTTCAAGCTATTCTAGACTTGGGGTCATAACTGCAGAGCAATGGTAATGATACCGTTTCCATGACAACTGATTCATTGGAGGGCTAGGCCTCTGTCTAGGGTGCTGTCAGTGTATGTAGAGTTTCAGTGAACGGAAAGTCCCGAAGAAGGGTCTGCCTCTACCTAATCCAGTTTTAATTGAACTCTAGAGACTTTGAAGTGAAGCCTCAGACCAGGCATATACTACTATTCCAATACGAGATGAATCTCCTGCTTAGCTAGGTTTTTCAGCTGCTTTTCAGTATTGACACCTTTTCCTAATAAATACTTTAAAAAATGTTGTATAAATTTCAAAGAATAATTAAGAGATTCTTCAATTCTGTCTTTAAAACTAGCTTTCATGACATAAAAATAAATTTTAAACATTTTTTGAAAATTGGCTAGTATTTTTGTGTAAGTTTAATTTTTGACACCTTTGGCCATTATAAATGATTTTTTTTTCTTTGAGTTTGAAAAACTTTAACTTTCAAAGCACGCTGTCATACATTCAGTATGAACCATTTATGTCAGGTTTGAAATAATGCATAGTAATCCTGGATGTGATTTATGGCTATATATGTACTAATAATATAAAACCTTATACTAAGATAGTGATTAATTAAAAGAAAAAGGAAAATGAAGTGATGTTATGTGGGATAATTTGAATGCTCTCTGTAAAGCTTTAATTTTTAAAACATATGGAATTATATAACAACATATTAAATATTATAAGGTTAAATAGTGGGTATGAGGTTCATGTCATTTTGTATTTTTTAAAATAAATTTTAAATAACTTTTGACATTTGACAATAAAACATTTTAGGGCCGGGGAGATGGCTCAGTGGAATAAGTGCTTCCCTGGCAAGCGCAAGGGCCTGAGTTCAATCCCTGATTCCGCCAAAAAAAGAATCGACAATAAAACATTTTAAGAAGTATGACACATTTTTCAAGTAGGTCTTTGAATAATCATACATTGAAATATAAATGAATTTTTTGATAAATCAGAAAACTACTTTTGTACATTAAAATCTTATAAATATTATATTGTACCTATTTCTACTAATAAATGCAGTACTCTAGAATATAATTACATATTTATTGGTGTGACCATGACTGTGCAGTGGTTGGCATCACCATTATGAGCAACAGGTCTTGTTATATGTAGCTCTTTACTAATAAAAGGTAGAGTTTTCAGGCGACTGCGTGATACTCAAAGGACATGACAAAGCTTAAAGGATCATTGGTGTTTGTTTTCTTTGATTTTCTTCTTGCCTTTAACCCTAGGGCAGGAAAGTAAATGTAGTTGATTAGTTTACAGTGTGTTAGGTTCAGTTTTAACAAATGTTTAACCCTTTTAAAGAAATGTAAGGGCCAGGGAGATGGCTCATTGGAATAAGCACTTCCCTGGCAAGCACAAGGGCCTGAGTTCAATCCCCAGTTCTGAAAAAAAAAAAAAAAAAAAAGAACAGAAATGTAATACTATGTTATATAAAGGAAGGTGTGGACTTTGGGTTAAAAATTCTGGGAGTAGTCTAGACGGCCATTAAATTGACACAGGACTTTGTATGAAGTATCAAACATGGTAGGACCTCATTTTCCTTATGAATAGAATGGTTGATTACATTAGATTAAGTGTTATAGAATATATCTTAGATTGTCTAATGTTTGACAAATCCAGAATGGCACACTCATATATGCATAGAAATGGAATAAATATGCGTGAATACTCTTCAGGTTGGTAGATGGTACATGATTGAAAACTGCTCAAGAGCACATGCCTGTTGTTGCCATGTAGATCCATTTTTGTCAGATATTCATTTGAGCTTTTTCTAAGATGGTAGAAATATGAATATTTATGTAAATAGCTGTTTTCTAAATTATTTTTGATTCCTTTAAATTTTGTTAATACGTATGTGCCAAACAAAGTGAATTAGGTCATATGTGGAGCTCAGGTTACCGTGCTTTAACTCATTTAGTCACAGAATACTTTGTGCAGATTTCTACTGCCTTGAAAAATGAAGCATGTTCAGAGTCTTTGCTCAAATAGGGTTTAGACTAGAATTCTAGTGCAGAAAGGTCAAGAGATAAGCATTATAATTTGAGGTAGTGATCAGTGTTATGAAGAAAATGTAATGTGTTTGGGACAGGGGCAGGGTGTACTAGAGGAAGCCGAATTTATACTCTGTGCCTTCTTTGAGTAGATAATTTGAAATTTAAATGTGAAAATTATCCATTCCTATAGAAATTTGAGAGAACATTCTAGAAAGAGAGGACCAGAGTTAAATCTTGAGAGGAACAATAGCAATTTTACCCCTTTCTGCTTGTAAATTACTCTTGATCTTATATAAGTATTTGTTATGTGACTGAGTAGTAGGCTAGCTCTAGGGCTGGTTTCAACACTAAGATCAGGATTTTTGTCTAATCCTTCCTAAATTTTATCTTTCAATGAAATTCAACATTTTAGAGTTCTACATATTTTTTAGTTCTAGGTGCCAGAAGCACAAATCATTTCTGTAGAAAAATTTAAACACTTTCTGAATTAAATAAGTATTTTTTCTTTCAAAAAATGCATTTTTATTGAAGAATACACTTTTTCAAATTTTATTTGGAGAATGAAAATGATTTTAAAAAGGACAGCTGGGCATAATAGTTCATGCTTATAATCCCAGCATTTGAATGAGTGCAGCAGGAAGATCGCCCTGAGTTTGAGGCCAGCTTGGGTCACATAGTGAGTTTGAGGCAAGCTTTAACTACATAGCAAAACCCTGTCTCAAAAGGAACAGAAAATTAAAAAGTGCTGTGCAAGAACACTACAGTGTTTTTCATAATAAACTTGTTAACTTAAAAAAAGAAAATTAAAAAGGACAGTTTGTAGAGGATGAGTTCTCACTATCCAGTATTGTTTTCCTCTCTTTGCCTATTCTGCCTTTAGTCCTCAGAATGCAGTGTCATAATCAAATACTTCCTTTATATTTTTAGATGGCAGCCATTTTTGTATATAATGTCTTTACTTTTTTATTTGATTTTACACATTTCAACGAGTCTTTATTGCAAATGTCTTAATTTTCTTATGGAGATGTTGAGTCTAATTTCCTTTAACACTTTTGTAATTAAGCTTTTGAAATGATAAAAATAAAACTTGAATAACAAGGCTGGGACTTGAGACTAAAGACAGGATTATTTTGAATTGGCAAAGCGTTTTGAGCAATTGTGTCTGTCACATAGGATGATAAGAATTCTAACTAGTCTGCCAACCACATACTCTGTGGAGAAATTATATTCAGTTCATTTGCAGGTTTATGCTCAGTTTGAGCTGACAAAATGATGCTTAACCTCTTACAATTTTAATCTTTGTGCTTTGTGAATGAGTTGTTATAATTGTGGCCTTAAAAATGTGACATTTTTAAAGTCATAAACTTACATCTGTCTTTTAAAGTATGTAGAAATACTACTGGGCAAATTCTAACCATGTTATGTGCAACTGATGTATATATGGTTCATAAACATACTGTCATTCTTTTGAAGTTGTCTTTGTTTTTAAGGTTTTATCTGAAACTTTTTGTAATACTACTTAAATCATGAATGTAATAAGAATTTTCCTGGTAAGCAGTAAATTACATCGTTATTTTTAAATGCCCAGGTATTTTTGTAATTACATGTTTTATAATTTAACTCTGCTTCATTTTTTTTTTACTCATAAGTTACAGTGTATTTTCTTAGTCTCTTTCTAAATTATTTCAGTAATTATTATTCTTAGATATCCTTAGTTTCTTCTGATTTAGCAACAAAAAATGTCTAACGTTGGCACTTACCTATATTTTTTTTTTCTAACTAGATCTTGGCTTATACAGAAGGGCTACACGGAAAATGGCTTTTCACAGAGATACGATCTGTCTTTTCTCGCCGCTACCTTTTGCAGAATACAGCGCTGGAGATCTTTATGGCAAACAGAGGTAATATGTTGGAGAGGAATATTGTTACAAAGCTACCTTCCACCTCTTTAAGATTTCATTTTGAACATACCATACATGTATTGTTTCCATTTAGATTCGATTTTATGGTCTACTCTGTGGCCTCATAACCTCATTTTCTATATCACATGGGTCTTAGTGTGTTTTTTTCTCACCTTGGTCATTTGTAGAATCATTTGTAGTTCTTTCTCTGGCCATATCAGATTGATGCATATTTTATAAACACTGTATAGAAGATGTCCTCAGTGTTGCTTTGATCCTTAAACTTTCTGATAAGTGGCTACAGGTGGGGACAGGAGAAAATAACCAAATGACTCATAACATTTATTGTGTCTGTTGTTTAACCTATGCTGTTCATAAAGGAATCATCAGAAAACAATACTGAATTGTGGTTTCTTTTTTTCTCTTCTCTTCTCTTCTCTTCTCTTCTCTTCTCTTCTCTTCTCTTCTCTTCTTTTCCTTTCTTTTCTTTTTGATAGTGGTACCAGCGATCAAACTCAGGACCATGCACTTCCCAGCAAAGCACTTATTCTATTGAGCTATCTCCCTGGCCCATGAATTGTGGTTTCTTTATATTTCATCATTCTTGAAAGCTGAGCTAAAATTCTATTCATGAGTTTAGTATGGTACTTAGTAAAATCCATGGATACTAGAAGAGGAGACAAGCTAAACTAGGAGGAAAAGCAATATTGGGTATTAGTGGAGGCATACATGGGAAATTATATAAAATCTGGCAACGTTTTGTGCACACTTCTTGTATATATGTAGGTTGATGGTGTACCTGCTTTTCTATAATCATATTATTAAAGTCTACATATAACACGTATAATCTGAGCACACATTTAGTTTTCCTTTATAAAATCTTATGTTTTTAGAGAAAGATGTTTCTGCCCTTTTCAATGAACTGTTTTTCCAAAAAAAAGCACTTTTTTTCTAATTTAAACATTATTCTTCAAGGTAGATAATAAAAAGAATGTTTCACACTTGAATTCAGTCTGCGTTCTTCTTATCCCAGAGGAGTTACAGCCTTACAATGTCTCTTATTTGCTCATCTTCATTCATTTTCCTTTTTTGGTTTCTTATGCATTCTTGCATTTGTGTGAATGTTTTACTCTTGCCTTTCCCTCAAAGCCTTGATTACCTGCCGCAATTTATGATGGATTGTTTTCCTCCTTAGTGTAGTAGTGAATATATAAAGGAAGGCTTAACTTAAATGGTATGTGCACAAGGCATTATTCAATATTTTCAGGTCCTTAGTAAATTATTAATTACTTTTGTTCCATAAACATGTTGGTAAAGTCAGCATTTAAAACTTTAGCAACACACATAGTCATTTTCTGTTTTGTTTTATTTTTTAGCCTTAAGTATTATTGCAGACTAGAATAATGTGGACTACCTTCTAGATGAACATTTGTAGTCTGTGATTCTAATATTGATGTTAACATAGAATTAAATTTCAAGACTGATGAAGTTAATGTCTTGTAAATTCTCCTCATTTAAAGACTTTACTTTCATGCTTTTGAAGTGGATAAAAATTTATAGATGACTTAAACTAACATTTATATCCTGAATGTTTATGTATTGATAGATGCTTCTTAGAATTCTCATATAGTCAATATAAAAGTAATTAAGAAGCATTTAAATTTTACTACTAAACATAGTGGAATATTTTTTCTTTAGGACACAAACTGTTCTGAATTATATGGACATATGTAGTGTATACATATAAACATAGAAAAGATAACTGTTTTTAAACTGTTTATCATTGGAAATAAATATAACTAATGATTTTATAGCTATACATAAAGATTTTAGTGTTTGATGAGTATCATATACATTTTAATTTTAATAATTATTTCTAGAAATTCATAGAAAAATATTTCACTTGTAAATTAGGTTTGTGAATTCTGAGTTGTAGCTGATAGTCTCAGGTTTATATGGTACTAACACAGCAACAGTTTTTCTGTTGCTTTTGGTGGTACCAGGGATCAAACTCATGATCTTGTGCTTTCCAGACAGGCACTTATGCTGCCAAGCTGTCTCCCCACCCCTAGTGTAACAACAGTTATTAGAATTTCTGAAAGTATTTAGAGAAAGAACTATCCATAGTAAGGGAGTTTATAGGTGAAATGAATATCATTTCTGGACATTAATATGAAACCTTTATCTACAATATGAAATAAGGAATATAATAAGAAATATATTAATCGATACCCAAAGTAATAGTAAATATTCTAGTAGACCAAGAAGTCATTTTAGCAAAAAAGGAAGTCCTATTGTATTCTCTAACTTTTAAAAATTGTTTGTCGTAGTTGCTGTAATGTTCAACTTCCCAGACCCTGCAACAGTAAAGAAAGTGGTAAATTATCTACCGCGTGTTGGTATTGGAACCAGTTTTGGATTGCCTCAAACCAGGTACTGTTTTACATGGGATAAGCACAGAAAATAATTTGCATTAACATTTTCATTAATCAGTCTGCATTAGTATTCTTGTTTTTGAAATGTATGTTCTTCTGTTTTATACTTCCAGTAAATGATGATTATTAGGGTATTATTTAGAGTATTTATGGTTCTCAACTAACTCGGATATACAGTGTCAAAGTATGTACTTAGCAAATAATAATTAGGGGAAAGATTCTCTAACTTTTTTCAAGACTGAAATAAAGGAGCTGCACAAGATGCAATTTCAATCTGATACAAATTTATCTTAAGTTTTCTATTTTAAAGTTATTGTCTCTTAAACTGATGTATATTATAACAAAAGTATGCACACACATGTGATTTTTTAATCAAGTAAGAAAAGGTTTATTTATACTTTTGAATGTACGTATTACATTTTTCATTATAATGGCCAAAATGAAAAAAAGGAAGATTATACGAAGTGTTAGATCAAATGTCGGGCAACTGAGCTTCTTATACATAGCTGCTGGGGGATGTAAATAGTACATTTGGAGTCTGGAAATATTGGGTAAATTTAAACATATGCATGTGCTATAATCCACAATTTTATTCCCTGAATAGAAATATATATGTATATTCACCCAAAGCATATAGAAAAATATTCATATTAGTATCACTCATGATAGCCTCAAGCTAGAGACAACCCAGCAGACAGTCAAACTGGGTAAGTAAATTGTGGTGTAAGTATACAATGAAGGCTGGGTATGGTTATGCAAGCCTGTAATCTCAGTACTAAGGAGGCTAAGGCAGAAAGATTGCTGTGAGTTCAAGGCTAGCCTGGGCTACCTATATAGTGACTTCAAAGCACCCTGAACTATGTAGTTAGACCATGTCTCAAAAAAAAAAAATGTATAATTGAATATACAACAGTAAAAATGAGTGGACTCTCATGCACATAGCAGCATATATGAATTTAAGTAAAGGAAACCAGAACAAATAATTCTGCTTGCATAATATTCAGAGCCAGTTAATATTAACTTTATTGTTCTCAGGATACTGGTTTGTTTCTGTGGTAGTCTGTGGTTAAGGATATAGCAGGTTTATATAATGCTTCTAATCATGTATTTATTGACTGAGATAATGGCTATCCAGTGCATTTGTTTTGTAAAAGTTCATGAAGTTGAGTCACTTATGATTTCTACAGATCTATGTTAAAGTGTATTAAATGGCTTAAAAAAATCCTTCTTCACTACATAAAAATAATTGCTGTTATTTGTTACATTGCAACCATATTTATTTTTCAACTTTCTTATGAATACAATTAGAATTAAGCAACCAAAAAAAAAAAATTTTTTTTTTTTTTTTCTGGAGCCAGGGATTGAACTCAGGCCTTTGTGCTTGCCGAGGAAGCACTTATTCTAGTGAGCCATCTCCCCGGCCCCAAGCAACTAAAATTTAAGACTGTATTTTTTCACTTAATGGGTCCTACCTAAGTCACTTTGGAAAACAGTTTACCTGTTTTCTTATAAAATTAAATTTATACTTTATGTATATTCTACCACTTCTACTCCTAGGCATTCACTAAGGGTACTGAGAAAAAAAATATGCACAAATTCACTTTTCAGCAAATGCTATTAGCAGGCCTGTTACAGTTCCTGACTGGAAGTATTTTGGATGTCCATCAAGTGGAAATGGATAGATTGTAATACACACACAAAATAGAATATAGTGCTACTCACAAATAAAAGGGACCAACTACTAGAAACAGGCAGCAACTTGGATGCTTCTGTAAAGTACAGAGATACGAAAAAGAAGTAAGGCCCTGGTAGGCTCCAGATACCACAGCTGTGGGTTATGTTCTGTGGAGTTGAATTTCGGAAAAAGCTGACTATATAGTGCCTGAGAGCGATTATTATGTACTCCGTTGTCCCTCCTGTGCACAGGAGCGGGGCAAGGGGATTAGCTACAAATGAATTGCGATGGTTGTCTCATAAGTGTGAGCAAGCTGTACACTTAAGTGTGGTAAATATTACTGTTAGGTTGTATCTGTATCTCTGAACATGTTTACAATAGGTAAGTTACAAAAGTACGTGTTCTGTACTTATTTCAATTTGCACTATTACCTAATATGTATGCTTACTCAGATTAAATTTCATTTTGATAAAATGATTATAGTATTCTATTTTGTTATATCCTCATTGTAACTTTTCTTTGTTGATATTAATCTCAACTGTATACTATCTTTAACCATTAATCAGAGTTCATATTTACAAAAATGTGAGCTATGGTGGTTTTGAAATTTATCTATCAGGACTAGAGCTTAATTACACTCTTCTGGATCCTGCACTATGTTTAGTGTTTTACTTGTGACAAATACAGTGTCACAGAAACAATGGCATGTCAGGGTCAGAAAGTAAGTCTTAAAAACAGACAGGGGCCTGGTGCAGTGATGCACTTCTGCAGCTATAGGGGCTGAAGCAGGAGGATCTCAAGTTTAATGCCAGCCTGTGAAACTTGGTGAGACCATTTCAAAAAAATACTAGAGATGCAGTTCGGTGTGGACATAGCCCTGGCTAATGGGTGAAAATGTGACCCTTTTGAATTATAAAATAGTTTTGAATTATAAATCATTGCTTTATAGTGGCAGTAATGATTTTGATTAGATGTTATAATTTAATAAGTGGTTTTAGGGCAGAGGGTGTAACTCAGTTGTAGAGCACTTACCTCATTTGCAAAAAGCACTAGTCTTGAACCTCAGCAATGGAGAAAAAGAGTTCACAAAGAAGCAGCTCAGAATAGCACAGGTTTCTTTATCTTCACTAAACAGGAAGTACGTCACATTAAGAGGCGTGATCAAGGAATATGGGGAGTGCTTAAAGTTCATTACAGTAACTGATACATTGCTAACAATCTCCCTCAGAATATTACTCCTTGCTTCAAATAAATTTATCATTTTTTGCCACTTTGGGGAACAGGTTTTTTTTTTTTTTTTTTTAATATGTTTGGTACAGGGTCTCTCTATGCAGCTTAGACATAATGGTCCTCCTGTTTTCAGCCTCCCCAGCACTAGAATTGCAGGCGTGTACCACCACGCCAGCTCTTGGTGGCTGGGTCAAGGCACCTGGGGGTATGGCCCTCTCACCCATAATCGTAGCATTGGGCCATGAATCTATCAAAAGCTCTAGAAGCCCTCCCCATGACTGCATAAAGCTTTGGGGGGACATCTGGACTCAAGCCATAACAGTCCTAAAGCAGACAGAGCTCCCAGAACTTGGAAATATTGGAAGATAGGACCAGTGGAAATCAGTGACTTAGGAGGACAGCGCCAGGCGGGAGATGACAGGAGCCTGTATGTCAAGGTGACACATGTGACAGAAGTGTAGTTGACAAGAGGCATCCTCCTTTAGCGATTTGCTGGACATACGGTTTATGGACTGTGGAGACAGAAGCGTGGTAAGGGAGGGAGCTACGCAGTGTGCTTGCCTTGGCTGCTCTAGGCTGCAGGTGACACTACTGAGAGGAGGAGCACTGAGGGCGCAGTGCTGGTGTCTGCAGGCTCCACCCACATGGTTGGGTGTGAGAACGCAAGGGTGAGCAGAAATGAGTTTAGCTGTGATTGTGTTTCAGGTGAACTGCTGATAGAGAGATGTTGTTTCTTTTAAAAAAAGAAAATGGTGTTTTATCTTAGTTACTGTGGCTTTATACTAAGTTTTGGTGGCAGTGCAGCCCTAGTTTCTCTTGAGATTCTGCAGTGTCTCCCCAGATGAGCTCATTCCCTCTAAAGCTTCACATTTCATCTGTCTGGCAGCGACTCCCCACTACTGGAGCTTTCTTCAGCTGCTGATTTACCCTTGTATCGAACTTTTTATTCAGTTTTCCTGGACATCTCTCAGAGGTTTTAAGCAGCTACACTGCCAGATTTCAAAATTACTCTAAAAGTACAATAATAAAGACATGATTTTTTTTTTTTTTTTTTTACAAAAGAAAGGAAATAAGCCATCATGTGGGCATCAGTACTGGTTTTAAATCCAAATAACAAATATATTGAATAGGCTCAAAGGATCTACTAACAAAGTCGTTTCCATTTTCCTGCTGCATAGAATACTTTGTTCAACCCTGCCACTTGAATTCTATCATTTTTCTTCCTGGAGGAGAAAATCCAAGGTGTTTAACATTTACAAATAAGGTGTTATTCTTTTACAGCTGATGCTTGGGAAAATGCCGAGGAGGGCAGTACAGAGCCCCATGGATTCCTGTACCGTGTTCTCTCTGTACATATCCTCTGTACAAGGCATCTGGAAAGTGTCTTGGTTTCAGAATTTCTTTCTGCACCCACGTTTGCTGCCAGGGCTCTGCCATGCAGCCTTTGGTGCTGTTAGCCACGCCTGTCCCCAGCCACCGCTCTTCTCATGGTACTAGGAAGCATGACTGTGTGGAGCCTTTTCCAACAGAGTGGAAACATTTTAAAATTTAAGGAATATGTCTAAAGTAGTGTGAGGGAATATTTTATAGCTTTAAACATCTGTATGTGACACATAGAAATGCCTTCCATCAATAGCCGAACCTCCAGGGCCGGGATATAGCTAAGCAGTGTAGCGCCTGCCTGACAAGCACGGAGTCCTGAGCTTGATTCCTAGAATCAACAAATACAACAAAAAACCCGAAGCTTCTTTCTTTAGAGAGCAGGAAAAAAATCAAGCTAAGTGCAAAGCAAATAGAAACAAAAAAAGAATAATGAAGATTATACTAGAAATGAGTGAAACAGTCAAAATCAGTAAAGATGATCAATGCAATAAGATGATTCTTGAACACGATTAGTAAAATTGACAGTGGTCATGAAGCCTAAAATAAAAGAGCTATAAATTACCCAAATCAAAAATGATAATAGAGGCATCGCTGCTGACCATATAGAAATCAAAAGAATTGAATGGCTAGGTGCGATTATATAATCGTGCTGAGGTTATGTAACCTCAGCAGCTCAGAAAGTCGGGACAAGAGGATCACCAGCTTGGATAGTTTAGCTATAATCTGCCTCTAGATGAAAAAAAAAAAAAAAAGCTAGGGATATAGTTCAGTGTGAAGTTCCTGGGTTTCTTCCCCACTAAAATGCACACACACACACACACACACACACCCCAAATATCATGAGTAACTTGAAAGAAATTTGATAATTTAGACAATATAGACAAATTCCTACAAAAATAGAATTGCTGAAACTAGCTCAGGTATTTTCTTTTTAAATGGATAAACTTACCACAAGAAATTAAATTACAAGGCCCGGCCAAATAGCTCAGTGGACTAAAGTGCCTGCTAGTTCAATCCCGGATGTGCTGTGTCGGCCCCACCCCTGGGGCTCACTGAGATGGCGACTGAGACTGGGTGTAGTGGCACACACCTGTAATCCTAGCACGTGGGAGGCTGAATACAGGATCATAAATAATAGTTTAAGCCCCAAACTATTTTTCCAGTAAATCATGGCCTATTAAGTACTTAAAATAGAAATGATGCCAACTCCTCAAAAATTAAAGATATAACAGCAGAAAGCACATCACCACTCACAGAATAAGGCCGTTGTTGCCCTAATATCAGTGACAGAGACATTATAAGAAAGCAGGCAAGGTGATGCTGTGAGCGTTTCCTTCATGAATACACACTCAGAAAAATTCTTATAGAATTTAATAAGTCAAAGTCAGACTTATGTAAAAAGAATTATAAAATGGCCCTTGAAATAAGATTTGGTTTAAATCTATCAGTTAGTGTATTTATGCACCAAGTTAAATAGATTAAAGAACAAAAACCATGCAGTCATCTCCAAGGAAACACATTTCACAAAGTTCAAGACATATCCACAATTAAAACTTAGCTGATTCTAAATAGTATTGCCACAAATTGACAACATTTGTCCATTTAAAAATACCCCTTACAATGTATGTACCCCATAGTGTTGAAAGTCTGAGTATGTACCCCTAATTTCAACAAGTAGTCATGTCTTGCGTTTTTGTATCTTCTGCTCAGCTTTACATTGGAGAGGTCTTCCTGTGCAACAAAGAAGGAAAAATAGAAGAAGGAAGGGAGAGAGGGAGAATTTAAAGCCACCAAGATCAGAAAGGCAGGAGAAATCATAAAAGAAGTATAAGATTTACATAAGGAAAAATACAAAGGAATTCTAAAAGCAATTAAAAATGAACCTCAGGGAATGGAGGCAGTTTATGTTCAGGAATGAAAAGATTCAATATGATTTAGTAGATTCTTGTGGAGAAATTGTGAAGTGGAAATTCAGTGGCTCTAGAATAACCTAAACAATCTGGAGAAAAAAAAGAATTAGAGGACAAAAGCTGATTACGAAGCTTATAAACTTATAATAATTAAAACTGTGGAATTTTTACAAGATAGGCATAGCAATCAATGGAACGGAGTTGAAAAACACAGAAATTAATGTTTTTTATGATCAGCTGTTTGATGAAAATATTCTGCAAAGTATCTTTTTAGAAGATCATTATTTATACACTTATAACGCATTACTTTTATGATATGTAAATTATACCTCCAGAAATCTTTCAGTAACTTATTTGTCTTATCATTTGTGGTGAGAAAATCTGTGATAGTTTATATTGCTGAAATTAGACCAGTGATGGTGAACCTTTCAGAGACATGTCCAAACTGCAACCCAAAGCCCACTTACTTATTATGAGGTGGCAACACTGCTGCTAAACCTAAATACTGCAGTTTTAGTTTAGAAAGAACAAGTCCTGTATTAACATCGTTTGTCTTAAAACAGAAACACAATAATATGGCTGCCAATATGTTCACCAGCACTGCTCTCTGAACTTTTTTTTTTTTTTTTTTTTTGTACTGGGGATCAAGCTTGGGACTTTTGTTGCCAGGCAGTTGCTTACGCCACTAATCTATGTCACCAGGCCTGCTCTAGACTCTGAATGTCCTAACACTGCCTCCTGTTTTTTACTGCTCTTGGCATTGGTCAGTTGTATCTATTAATATTTACTTATTAGCTTGTTCTTCTAATAACCTTTATTTAAAAACTCAATAGTTTCATCTTCCTTCATCCATCCCATAAATAGATATCTAGGTAGTTGAAGATTCTCTTTCTCTTTATTACAAGGGATATGGAAATGTGATGCTGAAATTTATAATGTTCAAATGTTTTAAGATATGACTATTAAATTTGATAGACATGTAGATACAATTTTATATGAACTTTATATGCAGTTACTATAATTTCTTCAACATATATCAGTAAAGCAGTGAATTATTAATAATACTGCTATTAATCAAGCTGTAGGGAATCTGGATATTGTAATAGCTTTTTAACAATGGTTTATCTGAATGAACAAAACGTGCCTAATAGAACTGTGGCTGCTCCAAATCATTTGTTAACCATTAATTCTCAATTGAAGTATCTTTACTGTTCATTAGTCTAACATGAATAGAATGTTAGAATTATAGATTTCATTATGAATAAATAACCACAGGTAATTCATGATTTAATATTATAATTAATCTTGTTTACTAAGTTGATGTTACAATGAATTCTTTTTCTTGCAGACGTATTTCACTAGCTAGCCCACGTCAGCTTTTTAAAGCTTCCAACATGACCCAGCGATGGCAACATAGAGAGATTTCCAATTTTGAGTACTTGATGTTTCTCAACACTATAGCAGGTAATCCACATTCACATACTGACTTATTCCAAGTGGTAAATTATTAACTGTGGTATGGTTAGATTGTTTTGGGTGCTGTCATAAGTAACTTATTTTTTGTCATCATTACTGTATTTTATAAAGGTATGATGATAACATTTGCAGTCTTACATATGAATAGTTCATACTTGAAATTTTAAGAAAAGCTGAAGTCAACAACTTTGGACAATGGCCAGTTGTGCTGATAATAATGCGCTACTGTTATGGACTATTGGACTATTTTTGGGTTATTTTGCTGAATTCAAGTCCCTACAAACTTTGGACTGGCATCAAGTATGAAAAGTCCTTTAAAATCTTCTCCAAATACAGCTTCTTTAACAGCAATGAAGCATCCATCTATGACAAAACAAAATGGGGATATAAATAAAGGATCTCTTTGTTCTGAAATAAAAATATGTATATACAAGATAGGATAGATATACAACTACTTTCTCATAGTTCCATGAGAAGAAAGGTTTGTACTAATATTGTTTAGACAGGTTAACAGGAAAGTTATAATAATTAATACAGGGGCTGGTGGGATGGCTCAGTGGAATAAGCACTTTCTTGGTAAGTGCAAGTTCCTGAGTTCATTCCCCTGTTCTGCCAAGAAAAAAAAAATAATACATTGTATATTGTTGTCTTTGTAGTAGTTATTCATAGTACAAGATACAGACATGATATCCTGTCCAAACACTATTAGTACAAATCTTTCTTCTCATTGAATTAAGACAAAATAGCTATATATCTATCCTATTTTGTATATACAGATACAAAACGGTCGTTCATTTGTATCCCCTTTTTTTGTTTAGTTTGTCAGAGATGGGTATTCCATTGCCATTTAAATATTGTAGGTGCATGAATTCAGCAAAATAATCCAATACAGTCCAGTAGTCCATAATAGGGGATTATCCGTAGGACTGGTAATGTCAGAAGTTGTTGACTTGAGCCTTTTATAGCTCAGCATATTAATATGGCTTTACTTTATATACCTTGTTTTTATACTTTTCTGTTGGATGGTTAAGACTAAGATAAAGCAAGACCTATATAAAAAGAAATGTAACTTTTGTATCTGATTAGGTCAGTCAAATCCTCTCAGGATTTACCCTGAAACCTGTACTGCAGTTTGTAGATCCTTTATCAGTGTCAGCCATGTGGATGAGTCATGGCCATTGCTTGACCAATTTGTTCTTTGTGAAAGCCTGAGAGCATGTTTTCTTTCCATGTGACTCTTCTTAGGCACACTCTACATCATCGGTCACTTTCCTCTGTGGCCCCATAATCTCCTTTATCGGTAAATTTGGGTCACAACTGAGTTACAGGAATGTACAATACAGGTTATCCTATGTCCTGAGTCCTCACTGACCTTGAAAGTCTAGGACTGAAATGTTGGCTGTCCTTGCAGCCCTTCTTTTTCTCTAATTTTTGGTCTGCAAACTTAAGTTGTTAACCCTCCAGAAGAGAAGTTTAATGACATTATTACCCTATAATATAGGCAGTTGAGCTTAACCTCACTGTCTGTCTGAATATCAAACAACTTAGATATAATGTGGAAGTTATTTTTTCTCATTCAAATGAATAAAAAATAGAAAAAAGAAACACAAAAATAAATATAAAAGCTTTTTTCCAAAAGAGAAAATAATTGTAATTAATATAACAATGGGCTCATTGTGGAATAGTAAGAATGAAACACATTATAAATATGTAAAGGCCTTCATAACTTGGATAGGAATGTATTGTATAATAAGACAAGCACATGTAGCATTTTATTGGATAAAATATTAGGTAAAGAAATACTTGTAGTGTGAGTTAAATAAGAAAATCTAAAGATTCTTTGCTCACTGAAAGTCATCCATCATCTTGGAAAGAACATAAAAAAATAGAAACATGTCATTGATTTTCATTTGTGACAACTAGAATAAAAAAAAGGACTGCCTGTGAGACCCTTAAGATTCATTTCAATGAATTGACATGGTTTATATTTGAAACACAAAGGACATACAGGAGAAAGAGACATGTTTCTTTGTCTCAGAGAAGTTATTTTATGTACAAATGTGAGCATAGTTTAAAATCCCCTTATTGGAGATGCTTAGGACCAAAAATCTTTCATTTTTTAGAGTTTTTCATATGTTTGTATACTTGTGTAGGCTTTACCAATTGAGAATCCATTTGAAAACCAAAATATTCTGAAATCTGAACTTGGAGTTGAAATTTTTCAGATTTTGGATTTTTGGATTAGGAATATTCAACCTTTATTATATAATTCTAGAGAAGAGAGTGCATATTTAAGAAAGAAGTGTGAAATTTTATGGAGATTTAAAGAACAGTGAGGTACAATATATTTAATGCAGTTGTTAGGAGAAATGAGAAAAAAGGAATAATTTTAGTAGTGGTCACATAAGGATTGAGACTACATTTACTGGAGGAGAAGCTGGTTCTGTGACTAGGAATCATCCTAAGTAAAAATGAAAGCAAAATCAAGCACAGGAAGATGTTAAAATTTAAAGTATAACTAGAGAATAATACCAGTATACTGTAGTTTATGTAGATGCGTGTCTGTCTCTATAAAGTGTACATTTATAAATATAGAATGAGAAAAAAGAATGTTAGTGTGCAGACATTATGAAAGATATTCTGTACCTTTAAGGAGTTAACAGTGCATTGGGAGAATTTTTAAGGTTTTTGAGCACAAAAACAGTCGTATTACATACTGAAACTTTGAGAAAGGTTGACTGGGAGATAAATTCAAGTTCAGAGGAACTAGGCAGAAAGCAAAGTATTAGGAAACCATTACATATATGTGATAAGAGGCTATGCTGGAGAGATGACAGTGGACAGAGAAAATACTGTAGGAGTTTACAAGTCACCAAGCATTTGATGTGCATCTGACTGAAAATGGGTAGTCAGTGAGAACAGTGTCAGAAACGACTTCCCAGCTTCTGATCTCAATTGCTGCACAAACTAATCATTTTTGCCAGTAATAGAAATCTAGGGAAAGACAGCAATTGTACTGTGTTGACATGACACCCACATTAACTATCAGAAAGAGAACAGGTCAGGTGGGTTATTTAGAACTTAGACAAGACACTGTATTTCATCTGCATGGGGAGCAAATCACTATGAGAGAAATGAGTTCATCAGTGCAGATAATTCTGAAAGCAATTAGCTTAGGCCTGGAGGCCACTCTACACTCTCATTCACACAGGAATAACGATACATTGAAAGAAGGAGGGGAAGTTAGAAATGTGAGAAAAGAAATGAGAAAAAGAAAATAATGAGTGATTCTAGAGTTTATAGATACAGTAGGAGAACCGAGGTTATGTCAGAAGTCTTGAAAGTATTTGGAAAGTACTTGTCACCTTTGTCAAATGCTATAGAAAGGTAAGATAGAATTAAGAGTGAGTATGGGACACATTTGTCAACTTCTCATTTGGGGCTGCTGGTAATTTCATAGTTCTTTTTTAGTTAAGCAAAGAACTGATAATAAGCCCTGAATGGTGGGAAGCAAAATGGGAACGTGAGATTAGGTTATCATTTTGTTAACTGTGATAGTGAAAAAAGGGCAGTTAGGCAGAGAGGAAAAGCCATGGGAGATGGAGAGAAAGAGAGAAAAATTAATGCTTTGAGTTATGAGGGAGACTGAATCAAGAGCTCTGGTGAAAGCATTACTCTTAGCAAAGAAAATAGCCTCCTCCCAGAGAAAAAGGAAAGAGAAAAGAGGGTGTATGATCTGAATTTTCTCCATTCAGTTAGCTGAGGGAAAAGAATCAAGAAAGTATGACCATGTAACTAGTAAGCAACGAGATTTAAAATATGTCCATAAGCTCATTATGTAGCTTTCCTGTCTCACACTATGTAAGTCTCCTTTAATATTCAGCTCTTGGAAGAAAACCAAAAATGATCAAATACACAATAAGGAATTCAAACAATAGTAGCAGTCTTGTACTTCATCCCTAAGAGTTAGTTCACAGTGAAATTTATAAAAATAGGTAATAGTTTGGTAAATAATGGAGTTGGGATTCAAATGCTTGCATTTTGACTCCTGAAGCAGAGTTGGGATTCAAATGCTTGTACTTTGACTCCCAAAGTGATGCTGTCTAGAAAACGGGAATAGAAGAGCTGCCTGACCCTTTGAATGTGCATTTTTAATCAACCTCAATGTGTTCTGGGACTCCTTAGTTTAGAAGGTGGGTGGGAAGCATGTGGCGGGCGGCATCTGCAGTTGGGGGATACCAAATTTGTAATGCTGTTCTCTCATAGTGGATCAGAGCATTTGAAAATCGCCACAGAAATTTCAAAGTCGCTTAGAACATCTCTCTCATTTTATATGTAACTAGGGAATGTTCCCTGGTCTTACGTGACTAAACTTGGTTAGTCGGTTAGCATAGTAGAGGCAAGAAAAAAAAAAAAAAAAAAAAAATCCACTCTTTTTCTAGAAATGTTGTTGTTGTTGTTTTGTGGAACTGGGGATTGAACTCAGGCCCTTGTGCTTGCCAGGGAAGCACTTATTCTACTGAGCCATCTCCTCGGCCCTTGAAAATTCTAGTTTTTAAAAGTTGTTAGAATTGTAAATTGTTTTTTAAAGTCATAATAAGGACATATCCCATTCCTGGATAGGAAGAATCAATGTCATCAAAATGACCATATTAACAAAAGCAGTACACAGATTAAATACAGTTTCTATCAAAATACCAACAGGATTCTTCACAGAATTGAAAAACCAATCCATGTAAATCCAGAAGAATTGGAACCCAATACAAATACTTCAATCAAAAATAGATAAATGGAATGAATAGACAGTCCTCAAAAGAAGAAACATGAATGACTAAAAATATGTGATAACATGCCCAGTATTTTTTATTAGGAAATTACAAATCAAAGTAATTTAATCTAGTAAGAGTGGCTGTAGTCAAGAATACAGAAACAAATGCTGATGAGGATATGGGGACAAAGGAGTGGGGATATGAACAAGTAGAGCCACTATGCAAGTTGATTAATAGCTTTCTCATAAAACCAAAAGTAGAGATTCCATTTGATGCCGCTAAAACCTCTGGGTATTTTACTGAAAGGATTAAAGTTACCATACTACGGCGATATTTGCATACCCTTGTATATACGGTGCAATTCATGATAGTGAAACTCTGGAAATAGCCCGTATGCCTATTAACAGATGAATGGCTACAACAAATGTGAGATATAGATATAGATATATATCAATGATAGATATCATTGATAGCTCAATTA